ATGTACCTGTACTTTCTAAGGCTCATAGCCTTTTGAGTTTTTTTAGTGAAGACTCTGTCAACTACTTTCTCTCATAGAGTCTTTCTAGTGAGGACCCTTCCCACTATGAGTCTCTCATTGAGACTTGTTTAATGAACTCATATTCTAGGGGTACGAAAGAGACCTTGTCTGTCATTTACCCTCATAAAAATTTTCTAATGAGGAATATATCCATTACTTGCTTTCCATTGAAGCTGCCTCATGAGCATGTTTTCTAGAGGTATAGGTGGAGATCATGTATGCCATTAGAATGTTTGACCTTTTATGGGTTATTTATTCAGGGCACATCTGCTCAACAACTATAGCCTATAATGGAAGAAGTCGGTGAGAACCCACAAAAGATGTAAGACTCATCTTATGTTATATAATTGGATATGTTCAACAAAGTTAACCCGTCATGAACAAATTTGAAGGGAATCCACCAAAAGATTTTGTCCTATCTAAGGTTGTTAGTTGAAGCTTCAACTTGATGACTATAATTTGTTATGGAAGGTGTCGAATTGAGTTCCCCGGGATCGACTAAGCCTTAAATGAGGTGTCAAATATGCACTTTATTACTCCAGACTAAGGTTCAGTTCGAAATAGACCGTACTTTTTTTTTTGGAATTATTGTTGCATCCATACTCAAAAATGACGTTGAGTAACTTGTTAATTTATTCCCTTGAATTTATTATCCCCCAATGAGGGGTATTTTCATACGAGCCTGTAAAGCAACCCATGTATCAAATATTTAAGATATCAACTTCCTGATTCGATTGAGCAGAAGCTCTTATATGATGAGGAGGCACTGAGAGAGCACTTTCGAGCTAGGTAACTCAGATCAGTGGCTGATCACAACATGATTGTTCTCTTGAAGTTGTAGTGAAAATTGCCCCTAATATGGAGTTGATTCATTTAGACTTGATAAAAAGCGAGATGAAGACCCCAATAATTTGTGTCCAGGATATTAATGTAAACAACCTTTTGTGACTGTAATGGGGAGCCCCTGGCCTGGAACCAACTCTTATAAACTTGTTGTTTGAATGAGATGTGGAAAGACCACTACACTACAATCATGCTCCGGATATTGACGTGAATGACCTTTTAAGACTACAATGAATGTTGCCTCTCACATCGAAGAATATTCATAAATAATTTTCAAAAGATGTAAAAGAGGTTACTTTACCAGTTAGGTGTTGTATATCATTAAAAAACGAATCAGATGCTTGACGTGCGAGACTTCAAAAATATACCCAACGAAACTTCATTTCCCAAACTGATGCATGCTTAAAGATTGACAAAGTTAAAATAATAAATTAAGTGTCTTAATTCTGGTCCAAGATCCAACACATATATAAATCAGAAGCAGAAAGTAACATCTCATTTTTTATGTAAAAACCCTGAAAAGGAAAAAATCATGGCATTTAGCCTATTTGAAATAATGCACAATGTAATAATAGATAAATATACTTTATATTTATAACATTGAAAATTTTCATATCACACTAAAAATATCATAATTTTAATTAACAAAAAAATTTGAAATACATTTTTCTAATAGCCTATATGTAAACGTTAAAGTTAGAAGTTTGACACAAAAAAGTGTAAATACTTACGAAATTAGAGGGCTGCGCGTAAATTTCTCTCTAGAAAAACGAAAAAGTCCCGTGCTCACCGTCTGCCAAAAGGCCGTCGGCCCATACCGACAGGTCCCAGTCAAAGATTTTGAACCGAACACGTTCATATAATGTGCCTCTTGTCTTCTCCTTTCCTCTCATTCTGCAACGCCAAAGCTATCGCTGCCTCTCTCAATCACAAATCTTGCAAAAGCAAAAGCGCCACTCATCCTTGTCACGCCTTCGTCTCTTCCCCAAACCCGCCTTCGTCTCCCGCTCGTCTCCACCCTTCTTCTTTGAACGCTCGTTGCTGCTCATCTTCTCCCGCTCTCTTCACAGGTGATGAATGAATGGATATACACAAGACCAGGGCCCTTTTCTCGTTTTTAGTTCTGATTTTTTTGCATGTTATTCTGTTGTTGCTTAGGTTTTTCTGATCTATTAGCAAAGCTTCTGCAATATGTATTCTCTTGCGCTTGGTTTTGTTTGAGGAGGAGGCTGGCGTTTGGTGTTACTTTGGGTGATATAAGTGAGGGAAAGTTGTTAAGGTGTTCGAGGATAAGTTTCTCTTTGATTTCATCAATCATTTTTCTCTTAGGGCTTTTAAAGTTTTGTTCAGCTTGGAGGGATTAGGGGGAAGGAATGAAAACGTGGAAGGTTGAAACTTGCTTTGCCTAATTTCATTGATTGAGGAAAAATTCTGCAAGAACTTTTTTTTTATATCTTGTTTGGTTGACTAAAAGTAAGATTATATTTTTGTGAGGGATGATAGTGAGTCACAATGATGATTTAATATATATTGTTTAATAATCACAGGGTTTGGACAGAGAAATTTCAATGGAAGAAAATTGCATTTGTTCGCTGCTGGATGATTTAATCCAATGTATTTGTAGGGTTATAACTCACCGCAGATTTGAGCCAAGCCTAAGGAAGTTTAGAGGGATAAAATAAGAGGGAAATTGTGGATGAAAGATTATCTTTTATTTATTGGGAATTACAAAGACCTCATTAACTCCTTAGAGAGTGAAATGGTGCGTTAGAGCAAAGATTATTGGGATTATAGTGAGATAAGTATAGGAAAAACACATGGACCGAGATCAGGTCAGAAAAATACAAAATGATTTCATGTCGTGTCCTAGATTTTCATATGTATGTGCATGACCATTGAACTGCAATTTATATGCGTGGGCTAGAGATGGTGGTCTGTTAGGTTATAGAAAAAATAACTGGAAATGTAGTTGTTGTAGTCTCTATTGGTGTTGGTAAGTTAAACTGCATGCTAAGTGGGAATTGTGGGTAGGCCCTAGAAAGGGTGATGTACCATATTAATGGGTAGGCCCTAGAAAGGGTGATGTACCATATTAGTTTTTCTGGTGGGAAGCTTGAGCGAGTTTTGGTGAGAACCCTAATTTGCAGACGGTTACTCTAGAACAATTGTCAAGATCTTTGGGAAGAGCCGCTTTGTGAAGCGGTGCTTTACATGAATTCAATATTAGGTAGCGAGGTCCAAGTAGGACTTGTTAGACTTGATTAGCCTATATTGTTGTTGAGTGAGGGTAGTGGGAAACTCAAGGCCTTGCTTCTAAGCTTGCTAGTTATGAGTAAATTAAGCTAGATCATAATTGGTGTATTGTAGGATACAGATTAAGCTTCTTAGTTGAGTTGATCGACTATATCGAAGCAAATATTTGCTTTCATTTATATTTCTCTAGTTAATTCAACTACTTACTAATTATACGAGAGCCAAAAACTTATTATGAAATTATTAAGTAAAATGCCCTTGCATTCCCTAGTTTTTTCAAACAAAAAATGACATTAGAGAATGTTGTTTTGAAGTTTTTTTTAGGGCCACAATCCCTTTTATAGATGAAAGAATTTGCAATGATGATAAAGACTTGTATAGCCAAAATTTTCACGCCAACTTTTGTTTATTTAAAAAAAAACAAATATATTAACTAAATAAAGATATTAATATATGAAGGCCATTTAACAAGAAATGCTTGAGGAAAAATAAAATTATAACAAAAAAAAAAGTAAAAACAAATTTTGTTTGGATTGTCTAGCTTGAAATTCAGTAAAGGTATAAATGTGACAATTAATTTTCATCTAATTTCTATTTCTTACAGTATTGAAAATATGATTTTTTTTCCATTGGGGAGTTAACACTATAAATTATGTAGTTAGAATCAGAAACATATTGCGAAAAATATTCATCGTTTTGTTCACCAAGAAGAATAAGTTGTGGCGTTTCAATAACTTGCAGAGTAGTAAGTGATAATTTCGTAGTGCATGAATTGGTCAACACCACAGGACTAGTAGAAGTAGAAACACCAAGCACTCTCCCGTGGAGGACTTGTACTTGGATCTAGTTTTTCAGAATAAATTTGAACAATGGAATGGTGAAGTTTTACTAAAGGGTCTTCACGTGTAATGCGCTCTGCTTAAATAGGGGAATTTTAAGCTTGGTTTGAGGCTTGAAACATTATGATAATTTATATTGAAGATTTCATGAGAGGAGCATTTGATGGCATGTTTTTGAATTCCATATTTTGTCAATATCAGGATGACGAAGACCTAATCCGTACATTATATAAAAAAAAAACAGTTATGCTCAGTTCCTCCAAAATTTTAGCAACAGAGAGCCTGACAAAATACATCATTGCAACATCTATATATAAATACTTGTCAAAGATTAAAGCCAAAGAGAATAATGTAGTTTGGTTTAAGTATAGAAAAAAAAAATGTGTGGAAAAGAGGTCTAAATTGGAGTGAAAGTAGACTTCATATAATAAGCAAAATGTGGAGATCATTTTAGCACACACATTGGGAATCTATTAATATAATAGGATTTTCATGAGGGTAGCCTTATGTAATATGCTTTTAACTAGAGTTTTATGATGACATATTGAGTGTTAATGTGCCCAATAAATACGGCTGTCAAAATAACTCGTTTGTGAACAACCCGTGTTCGGCTCGTTAAGTATCTCGTGTTCGATTAGTTCACCAAGCAAACGAGCCAAACACAATTTTTTTGCTCTCGATATATAAACAACCGAACAGGAACAAAGATTTATTTGTTTGTGTTCGACTCTTTTTGACTTGAAATAATTGAATTATATATGTGTGTGTTGTGTGTTAAAAGGCTATAAAGATTTATAATCAATTAAAATTATTGATTAGAAAATAGAATAAAAATATATTAAATTCTATTTAAATGAATATTTTAATATAAATAATAAGATTTAAATCTCACCCGTACTTTTAACATCTTGACTAAGACTGTCAAAATGGCTCGTTGTTCGCAAACAACTTGTAATATGCTTGTTAAGCAAACCGGACAAACACAAACAAATTTTTTGCGCTAGATATATTAACAAGTCAAACACGAATGGTGGACATGAGCCGAGCCTGGAGGCTGGGCTCTTTTACGCTCCTACAAACAAAATAGTTATCTAATACTATCAAATTTGACGTGAACTTGTGAATTACCTGTATGTTAGGATGTTGAATTTGCATATAAGTGAGAGATTGAAAGGTGTAATAAACATATTAATATTCTCATCTAAAAATAAGAGAGAATGCCCACATTGAAAAGTTGAAGGCTATTTATGTTGAATTTTCTCTCAAGTTTCTCTTAAGTTTGGTGAAAGAATAGTGGAGACTTGTTGACTAAAGAGGAGAAAGCATCTGTATTATTTGAACCACAAACAACATTTGCAAAGGAGCTACGAGTTTGAGAGTTTGGGACAAATGAGACTCAACCACCAGGGAGAAAGTGAGCAGCAACCACTAAAGCTCTGGGCCTATTAGGACGGGAGATCATGACCTTAGCGGGGATTAATCATAGTTTTAGAATAAATCACCACGTGAGAAGTTGGGATACAAAAATTTTCTAAAAAATAAGAGTGAAGATTCCTTGATAGAGATCAATGAAAGCAAGCTTGCACGACCACAAACATGAGAGAGAACAAAAATCAATCACAAACATTATCAACAAGGACATCATGAGATGACTAGTTGTGGGATCAATAGAGATCAGACAAGTTGCCGACGCTAACACCAAGAGAAGGTGTTGGTGTCATCAGATCTGGGCCTTGCAAAGGTTCTGCACAAGAGTTGTACTGAAAAGGGTGAACTAGAACACAATATCACAAATGAAACTTTCAAGAATGCTGGCAAATGTATCAATAAAGCCCCACTGGTTGGAAGGGTTGAGGGGGGTTGCATTGAATGGAGCTCACACAAATGAGTTCGTTTGTGTGACAAGATTGGCACTAAGGCGAAAATAGAATGGTAGGCAAAGGATGAGCACGTTGCTCGTGCAAACGAAGCCACATGAAACCCTATCTGCGGGTAATGGTAAGCAAAGGATGAGCACGTTGCTCGTGTAAACGAAGCCACATGAAACCCTATCTGCAGGTGTTGCCACAAACAATGTCGGGGTTGACATGATGGGAATGTCATATCACCGTGAGATCAGGCCATAGCGTCACGAGAATGGGAACATCTATGAAATGAGAGAGGGAGAATCTGCGGTAAACCTGCATCCATAACAAAGTCAATCAAGTGATAATCATATCTAAGTTGGGCTGTTTATAATCATTTTGCCCCTTGGAAATCTTTTTTGTTCTCGATAAGGATCAATAATCTTTTGATCCAGTAGCATCCATAATATTTGCCTTTTCTTGATATTCTTATTTGTTACATTATGTATTCTGCTACCTTATTATGGGATGCTGCCTAGACCTTCTAACCTATGCTCTCAAGCAGTAGATCAACATCAATCATAATGGACTATAGTTGTTTTTATTGAGAAATAAGATAATCCAAGGTTTAGTTGGTATTTATGAGGAAACAATAAGTGACAATTATAGTTGGTTCAACCAAAAAAAAAGTGTGGATGTGAGCTCTTTTCTAGAAGACATTGACGTGGTTAATCTTTGCATAATCATGGAATGTTTTGTAATGTTAAGCTGGTTTGATAGTTCAGCGTGACAAATGCAATTGTGGCATTAAATTTATCATACCTCATTTGAAAAAGGAAAAAGAGAAGACGGTAAAAGACTAGAAAAACTGGGGGACCAAATCAAAGTTAGTTTAAACCTTCTTTTAATATTTAAGAGATTCCTAGACCTTAACCTAGACTTCCTTTTAAAATCAATGGAGAATCTAAGAACCCTCTTTATTCTATTTCAAGAGGAATTAAATTGCTATTTTCAATCCTAAACATGAGGAGAGCCTAGCTACTTAATTCAAATTTAAGCCTGTCCTATAGGATTAAAATATCAGTAGCTTTTAATGTTAATGTAATTTAGTTATATTTTATAGGGTACATAATTTGTTTGTATTTTTATAATTTATAAATATATAACAGGGTCTTGATAATGGTGATGATAAATGTATGATTTTTTAGAGAACTTATACAAAAAATTTATGACAAATTTTAATATATTTATAAAGTACTTTTTTTTAAAAAAATTTCTATATCTAGATTTACTTAGCACGCGTTTATGCAAATATCTATACTTCATATGCTTAAACTGATACATATATATGTACACACACAACATAACATTACCAATATAATTAAGTAATATTTATTAAATAAAATTTATTTATTTACATAGCATGCATGTAGCTGCGGAGGTGTCACTTATCTGCTAGAGAACTAAAATTTCTTGGAGGTGACTTTGTAAACTTTGACTTCCAACTTTAGCAATCGTGCTTTTTCTCAATTAGGAGCAATCATAGAGGACATAAGTTAAAATCTCTTGCCCTCTGAGTGATGCTTCCCAGTTCCACCTGCACATTTATCCCAAGTCAGTGAAGGCGAGGATCTCACAAATATTTCTTGCAGAAACGCTTTTCTCTCACTTAAGTTCCTCAATTTCACTACATTTTGTTTTTCTTTTGGATGCGGAAGGCAGACTTGAACCTGACCCACTGCTTGCCAGCTCTTTTTGGTCATAATTCGCATTGTCTATTTTGTCAATTGGTTTATGCCTGTGAAGTTCATACAGTTTTTTTGAGACATATCGAGTAATTTTATAATTTTTTAGTGCAGGCACGCTTTTATAAATTCTTGTTTCTGCCTTCCGTACGAATTTATATCATTTTGATAAACTTTAACTTGACTGTTTTGTAAACATTTTACATTTTTCTTGTGAGAAAGTGTCGTTCATTATTTAACTTTTTGGTATACTATTTACCAGCATGCAAAAGTACGAAATGACATAAGTTACATTTTTTTCTCATCATAAATTCTTACAACACTGTTTTTTATTGATCGTGGTAAAGTTTTGTGGCACTATCATGAGAGTGCTCTCAAAGATCTAGTTAATGCCTTTCTAATTGTTTTCATCTTCTGTTTCATCTGCAGATATGGATGGACGCCCTAGTTCTTCTTTGTTACCATTACAGCGCTGTAAAATATTACACCTGGTTTGTGTTATTTTATTGGGGCATTTACATACATACCACCGTATTCTTATGTATTTACATATCTAATACCCAAACTTTAATTTTTACATTTATGCCACCCAAACCTTCCATATCACATCAAAAAGACCACCATTTTAACTTTTAAATAGTGAAATACACTTTTTCATGCATAGGGAAAGTGACATGTATGTAAAATTGAAGTTTAGGTGTTAGATATGCAAATACATATGAATTGAGTGGTATGCATGTAAATATTTCTATTTTATGTGACAGATTTTCACTATTTTGTCTCATAGATTTAATTGATTTTTCTCTCATAAAAATGTGCCAGGTTAGGCACGCTCAAGGGATACACAATGTAGAAGGAGAAAAGGACCACAGCGCATACATGTCTCCAGAACTCTTTGATGCTCATCTTACACCACTAGGATGGAACCAAGTATGTTTTCATTGTCTTCCTACTCCTAATTTTATGTCTTGATATGGATGCATCATGATGATCTAGCATTACAGAATGATGAACAATCATTCTTTTGGATAGAACTTTTTTTGTAATACAAACACTTTATGCAAAGTTTCAGTGTGAGTTGAGGCCTAGCCTAGTAGCATTGACATGATGCTATGCATGCTTAATTTTTTAGGGTCATTCACACCACAAAATTCTTATACATTTACATATCTAAAACCTGAACTTTGAAATTTACATGCATACCACTCAAATCTTTAACATCACAAAAAAAAAAACAAAAAAAAAAAAAAAAAACCATAATTACTAACATTTAAAAAGTAAAATACACCTTTTCACCAATAGTTTTATAACACCAAAATGTTATGAATGTAAATATCAAAGTTTTGGTTTTAGATATGTTAATACATAAGAATTGTGTGTTATTGTATGTAAATTTCTGTTTTTTTTTTATTTTTGTGTAAGAATTGTTTATTTTGAAGTTTTCCTGTTCTCTTTAAATTGCCTGTAGGGCGTTTTTTTTTATTTTATTTTGCAAGGTTTCCTATTTTACAAGTGTTTATGAGGAGGCTTCCTGCCTCCCTTTTGTTTCTCTTATATGCTTGCGTGATTTGAATAGGGCTGTGTGCGATTTCATGGTATTATATGCTAAATCAACATTTTTTAAAAATATGTAGATAATATTAATTTATGTAGTAATCTGCTTCTTTGATTTTGTTTGAATTCATGTGCACTCAAAAGTGTGAACTGAACAAAGACTTTGAATTATGATTTTGACACCCATTACATTCAGTTGCTTAGATTTTGAACAAATTTTAAGATTTTCTCCCTAAAAGAATTTATATATTTAGGGAGTGCATCATTTCATCAATCAAATATAGTTTATCACACTTATTGCATCCAAGGTTAGAATACTATAAGTAATAATGACACAAGGGGAAATTAATCTCATATACATCTGTGTTTAATTCTTTAAGATTTCTGCCTAGGAATTTTTTAAGTACCATCAAATTGATTTATGCACTAGTGTCTCAGTAGGGTCTTATATATAATTGTGGGGAGGATGATAGTAGATCTTTGATTCTAATGATGTTCCTGAGTGATGAAAAGCTTTGTGATTTTGACAATATTTTAATTGAGAATTTCTTGAATGTCTTGTGTTGCATCATAGGGATACGGAAAATTAAATTTGATTTGATGAGAACTATGCTTTTTCAAAATTATTTCAAACATGGGGAAAAACTTTACAAATTCATGATTGCCGATAGAAGTTGCTCAAATTTTGTGTCTAAATCTATCCTTTATTGCATGAATTTAAACCTCTAATCACATCTGCAACCATGTTAAGTAATATGAGTGCATAAAACTGCTGTTTCTATGTCTTAAGATAATCTTTGTTCTTATTTAGCTAGCTGCATTGATTAAATCTAGTGTTTTGTGCTACCCATGTGTACTGCTCATGTTCTGTAAGGTGGACCTTAGCGTTATACACATACTTAAGATTAATGAGAGAAGATTAGTGTTTGAAACCTTCCAAATCTAAGGGTAAGCCTGGGTATGCAAAAGAATTTAATGCTCTTTATAATGTGAAGAGGAATTTTACATATTCTAATCAGACACCATTTAAAATAGAGAATAGGCAAGATTGTGTGAATAATGTAGTTCTTGAGGTCATCATTTCACTTAATGATGTTAGTTAAGTGTTTATTGATTTTAATATAGTTGTGCTAATGAGCCTCCTAAGAATTACCATTACTAAGAGGTATAGAATATGCTTTTAATATTTTTTTTGGATCATCATTCAGCTACTTTGACTCATTCTAAGATATTTGAACTTGTTGAATTTAAGATGCATTGGTGAATTACTTAAGAAAACCTTTATCGGGGAAATGAGGAAAACCTTTATCAGGGAAATGAGTTTTCTATGTTGTACCTGCGTTGCTTATGCCTAAAATGAGAACTGTCATGTGTGTTGGCAGTAGAGCCCTCGACAAAATTATCATTAAGTTTAGATTTTTATTCCTCATTTAGATGATATATTAGATATGTTAAGTGGAGTTTGCTGACTTCTACATTTATTGTAAAATACAAATTCATTGATTGTAATGAGTTGATAGCCAATGGATCTGACATTGCAAGAGTCTTGCTAAAAGAGTTTGATTGAATTGTGCACAAATATTGCCTGTTTTACAAAATGAACCATACCGATGGGTTTGAAATGCTGAAGGTTTTTTAAGAAGGCACCCAAGAATTGCCAGACAGTGAAATTGATGAATAACAAACACGATATTGTGCAAGTTTGGATT